AGCAAAGAAAGTTATTATTCCACGGATCTCAGAAGGAAGGAACGTTCCAGAATGCTGCACTGGCAACAGGCGGCCTGCATGTGCGCGGCCCCTGCAGTCGGTCCAGCTGCCGGCCTTGCAGTGCTGAAAAGAATGTGCAGTACAGCATGTCACATAGTATCGCAGCCTGGACAAATAGGCGCTGGGAAGTCCTAGTTATGTGCTCACCTGCACCACGATGCACCAATCTTCTGAGCTACTTTGGCAACAACTTTGTCCACTTGAGACTCCCATGGGCTGAGCCAGTTGTTGAGGGCTGCACCAAGGTGGACGGCAATGACCGCAGTCAGGGCCGGAGGCAGCTTCCGCGGAGTGGTCCGGCCGAAGGGCCATCTTTAAGGGGGGTCTGGGGGTCCTCCCCCAGAAAACTTTTGGAATTTAGACGGCCAATCCTGCACTCTGGGCGACTCCCTGTACAAAATCATACATCGAAACTTTTTCTCCCCGGTTTTGGACGTTCCATGTAGACCGACTTTTTGGGAAATTTTTTTTGGTACGGCCATGGCCGTACTGGTGTACCGGTGTACCAGTACTTCGTCTCTTCACCTTGCTTCTGGTAACTCTTCCGGTGTCCGTGAGCTCCGGTGCCACATTTGGCGGTTTTCGGGATAGTACTGGAGATTTGAATACGTCGGTACTGGAAGTGACAACAACGATCAACAAGAGGAAACGAGGAAGACCGAGGAGTCAAACGAAAACAACCATGAATTCAAAGGACGTTGGAGGTGTCAACAAGCCCAACGGAAGAGAACAACGGCAAACGTCGAAGGTGACAGAGCTAAATGATCGGACATCGTCCATCAAGCGTCATTTGTCGGGAAGTGCTAATTGTCGTGAGTTGTATAGTGATGATGTCTTTTCGGTTTTAACTCGTGGAAGGTCTAAGTTACATCTTGCTGTGTTAGAAGCTCTGTATACACTCATTGCCGAAGATGCGTTGCCATGGTGCAAAAATGGCGTTGGATGGCTACGCCTGAGCGCTCGCGCTGTCATCGCAGCCCACGACACGTCTTCCTGCTGTGCTTTCCTGACAAATTATTTTGTTTCGCTTTGTCCTTGTTGCTGGAGGGTTTGATTCTTTGAGATACTGTAGAGCGATTTGGAGTTGGTCAGCCGAGAGTAGTCGTGAGAAATGGAGAAAGAACGTGAGAGAACCTGAACTGCGGATAAAGTCGCTCTGTTCCAGCGGAGGCGAGCAGAGTGTTACGATCTCAGTGCCCAGGCACGTCGCTCCTGATTATTTCGAGTGGCTCGATGTGCAAGTGGCACTCGAAACCAGCGCTGTGCAGAGTACCGATGTTCCTGCCAGTGTCGCTGCTTTAGCCGTGCTGGCGCTGGCGTCTCCAGTGCAAGCAGTAGCTAAAACCACTCCTGAACCGGTTCCAGTCGAACAAACTGTCGCTGCAGCTAGTGTTGGTGTTGTTTCTTCGCCTTCAGTGTCCGTGGGGTCAGCCGCTGTGGAATCTGGCACTGACAGCCAACCTGCCAAGAAGCGGAGAAGAACTTCAGGCAAGGGCTACTACTGTGCTGTTCCGCTCTGCAGTAATCGGTCTTTAGATATGTCACTTGCAATTCATCGTTTTCCCAGTGATGCAGAAAGGTGCAAGTTATGGCAATTTGAAATTAGGAGGGACGTGGGATCAAATTTCAAGATCACATCAAACACCAGAGTATGCAGCTCTCATTTCAAACAAGATGATTACGTCGGCAAGCTCCTGTCTGGTGAGGAGCCAGAAAGAAAATGGCTCAACCCCACCGCTGTGCCAACCCAGTTCCAGTGGACGGCAACTCCTAAACCAGCGAGATGAGTTCTGAAGAGAAAACGTCAAGAGTCTGAGGAGCCACAAGATATTGATGATTCCGGGGTCGTTTCTGTGGTGTCTGGTGTCTGTTCGGCTATTGACCCAGCACCGACACCTGGCCCTGTGCAGGGTTTGCCATGTGATCACAGATATATCAGTGTAAGTGACCCGAGTGAAGTTGATGATCACATGGCTGGCCTAGAAAAAGACTTCAGTGAAATTAAAAAAGAGTACGAGAGCCTGAAGTGTCGTTCGATCGATTTAGCCAGCATCAGAAACAATCCTGACAAGTTCAGGCACTTCACCGGCTGCCTAACTACGCAGTGTTCTCTGCCCTGTTCAAATACCTCGAACCCAAAGCCAAGAGGATGCAAACTTGGCGCGGCCTATCTACCCTTAGACATTTGTATGCCACTGGTCCTCAGCGATGGCCATTAGACGTTTCACCGACACTGGCTGACCATCATCATCACAGAATATGAATTTGTTCCAATAAATACTGCGTGAATGTGAAAAAGATTGTTACATATATTCCACCGGAAATACAAGTTCTATCAACCAACCAAGTATTCCACTTAGCTCAATCTGTGCATTCAGAAATGATTTGTTCCAGTAATAATCTAACATCAGTCCGAAGTTATTATTCAGAAATGTCCAGTGTCTGCTCTAGGATTGTAGGACAGCCGGGTACACGTGTACCTGGCGCAACCATTTCAACCGGGTCGGAGCCGGGTGCACATGTACCTGGCGCTGTCTCACCAGCCGAGTAACGTGCTTTAACTGGTTGGTTGGTTTATTTTAATTCGGACAATAAACGGGAACTAGGCCCAATGATATAAAGGCGAATGGATAGCCGCATTTAGAAAAGAGAGGACAGGAATTAGAAAATTACGAAGGAAGAAGAAGTATCTGACAGATACAAGCTAGAGTACATGAAAACCGTTTTCATGTACTCTTGATACAAGCCGTGTAGTCAGTCCTTTCAAAGTTCGAAAGTGTAAAGTACTAACCGGGTCACAGGTGACCCAGTACTATATTTTCAACCGGGTCCAAGCGCCGCCCAACCGGGTGGATTACCCGGCTCACCCGGCGCTGGAGCAGACACTGATGTATTGTAAGTCAATGTTTTACTATGATGACAGACCATTTTGATCTCTGCCAATTTCTGGTTTGAAGACATAAAAATGATGATTATTGATCCAGAAAGTCGTTAAAAAATCAGTGCAATCGATAACGAGTTTTCGGTTGTTTGTGAGGGGTTGAGAGGTGAGGTGGAATGAAATGTTGCTTTCGTTCACAGTGTAATGTTATTATGTTTGACAAGATGATATAATTCACAAAAGTCAACAGACATGACGAGGAAAGATCAGAAGAGAAGCCATGATCTAGAAAAACAGTCAGAAGCACGAGCGTGCATGCATACAACATGTCTGTTACGGAAGGTCCAGACAAACTCTGCATGCCATGGCTGCAAAAATCATCCAGCGCAAACAGCAAAGCCGCGACATGTGAACAGCACTCTCATTATCCGGAAATGCACTGGCAGTATCCACCGTAGCACACTGGATCGTCCCTGCTGATGCAGACGATACACGTGTAGGCTTGCTTTGATGTATCTTGTGATGGCCAGCATTTCGCACGGACGAAACAAAAGTTTGTTCCACCTGCAAACAGGTTTCCCTCCAAATGGTGAAGGTGGTGCTCATCAAATAATTGGTACGCACGAAGTTGCTTGTAGCACTGCAAGCTCTCCTTGTCATAATCTTTGTCCGGGGAAATTTAACATAATTATAGTGCTTGACAGCCTCAGTAATGAAGAAAGGGATTTTAGTTAGGCGAGATAGAGACCAGCCAGATGTTATGTGTGAAAAGCTTGGTAGCTTCTTGTACGCTGCCATTCCTGGCTTTGGTAATGCAGGCTTGTCTGCCTCCTCGTCTGGAACCCCTTCGCCAGCAGTACTCAAGTGGAAATGTTCACAGATGAGAAGGTAAAGATCACGTCTGGATACACGCCCTTGGTAGGGAATACTGTCTTTGCAAAGTTGGCGCAGCCCTTGCATGCGTAAGCGCATGATATCCCCACAAGAGGTGGGAGCGCGCAGGACAGAGCTGGACAGAAGTGAATGTGTGGCCCCTTCAGTAGCAGCATCAGCTGCTGTTTGCACTGGCCCTGAGCGGCGGGTTTTACAGCAGGTCCAGGAGTGGTTTCAGCTACTAGGTAAACTGCTTGCACTGGAGACGCCAGCGCCAGCCCGGCTGAAGCAGCGACACCGGCAGGAACATGGGCACTCTGCGCAGCACTGGTTTCGAGTGCCACTTGCACATCGAGCCCCTTGAAATAATCAGGAGCGACGTGCCTGGGCACTGAGATCGTAACCCTCTGCTCGCCTCCGCTGGAACAGAGCGACTTGATCCGCAGTCCAGGTTCTCTCACATTCTTTCTCCATTTCTCACGACTACTCTCGGCTGACCAACTCCAAATCGCTCTACAGTATCTCAAAGAATCAAACCCTCCAGCAACGTGCAACAAGGACAAAGCGAAACAAAAATAATATTTGTCAGGAAAGCACAGCAGGAAGACGTGTCGTGGGCTGCGATGACAGCGCGAGCGCTCAGGCGTAGCCATCCAACGCCATTTTTGCACCATGGCAACACAACTTCGGCAATGAGTGTTCCAGAACTGTGTGTACAGAAGGAGAATGTGTTATCCTTGCAGTTGTTTGGTGTCACACCTCGTGAAAGTGTGACAAGTGCTTCTTGATGTGTTCAACGTGTTTGTCTACAACTAATACTTGCTGCTTTTGTTTTCGAGTTTTTTTTTAAACACTTTAGTCATTTTATCGCCTATGTTGAAGTGTTGACTTTTTCTCTATTTCTTCTATATAGTTATGTGTTTTTCCAAATTTCCAACATTCCCTGTACTATCCTGAAGAGAAGGGAAAGAAAACGTTTGATAGAAAGGAAGTGTCTACTGAATTGTGTGGATTTGATTCGTGGCTTGCGAATAATTGAAAATAATTAATTTTTAATTAGCCGTGCAGAATAAAGACGTGTTGCGTTCAACTTCAGTTTGTGATCTGTCCCCGCTGCACTCGCTCTGGTTTCCACGACTCGCACGAGGTGAGCTTAGATTAACGCTGGACCAGCAGAAGCTGATTGATGGCGGCAACGGATGCCGTGGTGTGCGTCTTCTGCGACACAACAGATCTCAGCGACGCAAAGTTCTTGCACTGCCTCCATGTTAGCTGTGTCCCGTGTCTGAATGACAGAGTCACCACTCAGGGAGCAGCGCACTGTGGAATCTGCCGTCGGGACACTAAGCCAAAATTTTCAGGAGTTCATCTGAGAAAGCAGCTAGTGACTTGTCGCTCATTGCTCAAATCGAACAATCACAATGGTGATGACGTTCGTGCACAGTCGGAGGTGCAGCAGTGTGATTTTTGCGAGGGAGCGATCGTGAAGCCTGCCACACATAAATGTGATGACTGTGATGGTGCTATGCTGTGCGCGGAGCACGCCCAGGGCCATGCGACCAAGCGAGTATTTCGGCATCACCATGTAAAGTCGTTGACGAACGACGAGGCAAGTGGTGACGGAGGTGATGCATGGACTGAGACTAGGAACACTCGCTGTCCAGTTCACAGCATATACGAAGTGAACCGGTATTGTAGAACCTGTGACATTGTCGCCTGTGAGCAGTGTGTAGTACTAAGCCACCAACAGCAGCACACTGTCGTACCGTTGACTCAAATAGCCAAGACTACACGCACAGCGCTCCAACAGGCGCTGCCATTTGCGCCAGACCGCTCCACAGACGAGCATGTTCCACCTTCAACTCAGAGTTTTCACACGGTTATGGACATGCTCAAGGGAGATTTAGATGCTCATATTACAAAGACAAACGATGACGCTACGGCAGCCTCAAAGGTTATCAGTGACACGTTCTCAGGCATCATTAGTCTTCTTGATAAGCACGAGGAAGAGCTCCTGAAGAAGGTAGACGCACTCAGATGGAAAATGCAGAAGCCCATGGAGAGCAAGCTGCAACGTCTGACGGAAATTGAAGAGAGCAACGTGACGACTACGGAGGTTGGGAAATTGTTGAGCAGCGACGACAGCAGTGACATTGATGTCATGATGCTGGGAACGTGTGTCCTGGAGAAACTCAAGTCCTTCAGGTCGGACATTGAGTCGGAGGAAAAATCAATGCTGAACAAAGATTCGTGTAAAATCCAGACAGCTGTCTGGTCCGATGTTCTGCAGAGTATCAATGCAAGTGTTAAAACAGTCGTGGAGGTGTTTGAGGACGTCGGCATTGATTTGCAAAAGATGACCGTGAACGTACCACACAAGGTGCAGGTTGAAAACACAAGCATGATTCAGTTGAGGATTCCCTGTGCCAGGGATGAAGCCACGTCTTCTCACTGGCATGGGACATTGAAAGCTTGTTTGCGATCTCCATCTGGTCCAGAAGGCGCTGTAACCCTTGAAGCATCCTCCAGTATTGACGGCTCAGACACTCTACAGCTGAGTGCTTCCATAGATCCAAAGGAAACTGGTAACCACGTTCTGGAAGTAAGCACGCCCACAGAGAAGAGGTCGATTCCAGTACCAGTGTCTGTTTCTCCACCACTCCAGTTTGACAAACAACGATGCTCACCTGCCATGAAGATAACTGGATCAACAGAAAACATTGCGTCGCTGAGTGGCACAGACGGGCGATATGGCAATGTGTATGGCACTGTGGCCTACACGTCAGGCATGCACACTTGGTCAGTGAAAGTCACTGGTAGTAAACTGAACAGAGGTTACATGAACATCGGTGTGGCTACTCTTCCTCCTGATAGTCAAGTGGATGACTCAAAGCGTTGCGCCTACAACTATGGTGCAGGTTGGAATCAACCCCGCTCACCTTACTGCTTCTTACAAGGTGGTCGCACAGAGAATGCTCGCACCGGCCCTTGGGAAGATGGTGATATCCTAACCTTCACTCTGGACTATGACGGAGGTAGCTTGGAACTATGCATCCAACGTACAGGCGAGCGAAAGTCCATCTGCGGATTTGATCCACAAGGCAAAGCTCTGTACTTTTGCGTCGCCATCTGGAGCAAGCAAGACCGGATGGTTGAGATCGTTGGGTAGATTGTTTGTTTACCCATTTTGCTGAGCACCCTAGGCACTGTACTGCTTTATCCAATGATACTGATTATTATTTTTAAATGACATTATCCTTTACAGGATATTACTGTACACCAGGTGTGTCTACATGAAGTACAATATTTGTACTCTGCTGCACTGCTTTTCATCTACATGTTTTACATGGGTGCCTTCTGCACTTATTTCTAGCTTCATGTATGTACAAAACACTTTAGTCTTTGCAGCATGTTGCTCTTAGCTGGTCTACTTGTGTGTACATGACGTACAAAACATACTGCTGGACAGCTTTTTATCTGCATGTTTTACTTGGGCACTATGCAGCTAGTTTCCAGCTGCATACACGTAC